TGCCTCTGCCTGTCCTGGCAGTGCTGAGCACAGCAGGCAGTCCCGGCCTCATGAGGACCCACACACGAGTCACCGGTGCTGGTGCTGGTGCCAATACCAGTGCCAGTGTTGGTGCTGGTGCCAGTGTGGCAGGCGGCGGATCCCCTGTGCCCCTGCTCAGGGCCACATCCTACTGCCTGGAGGACCTGCGACCAGAGCTGCTGGAGGAGGTGAAGGACATCCTCATTCCTGAGGAGCAGCTTGTCATGCATCGTGACCGGATCATTGGCAAAGGTGACTCTGCACTTCAATTTGGCCATGGCATCACCTGCTCACCATGTGCAATGCCAATTTTGTGCCACCTCTCCCTGCAGGGCATTTTGGCAGTGTCTTCCATGGCACCTATTTGGATCCACTGCTGGGGGACCTCCACTGTGCCATCAAGTCCCTAAACCGTGAGTAGCGTCCACTCCCATGCATGGTCCCATGACACAGCACAGCAGCACAGCATTCCACAGCTGAGCTCTTGGCAGGCATCACAGACCTGGAGGAGGTGGAGGAGTTCCTGCGTGAAGGCATCCTCATGAAGAGCTTCCACCACCCCCAGGTACTCTCGCTGCTGGGGGTGTGCCTGCCCCATGAGGGGCTGCCCCTCGTCGTCCTGCCCTACATGCGCCACGGGGACCTGCGCCAGTTCATCCGCACCCAGGAGCGGGTAGGGGGGTACCCTGAGGGGTGAGGGGTGGTGGAAAGCCAAGGTTGACCCACTCACCAGTTCCATCCCACAGAGCCCTACAGTGAAGGAGCTCATTGGCTTTGGGCTTCAGGTGGCACTGGGCATGGAGTACCTGGCCCAGAAGAAGTTTGTGCATAGGGACCTGGCAGCCAGAAACTGCATGTGAGTGTGGCTATGTCTGCCAGACCCCTGCCACAGGGTCTGGGGGCAGGGCCCCCCACCTCAACCTGGTGTCCTGCAGGCTGGATGAGACGCTGACAGTGAAGGTGGCAGACTTTGGGTTGGCACGGGACGTGTTCGGCAAGGAGTACTACAGCATCCGGCAGCACCGCCACGCCAAGCTGCCCGTCAAGTGGATGGCACTGGAGAGCCTTCAGACCCAAAAATTCACTATGAAGTCGGATGTGGTAGGCACAACCCCCCTTGCCATCGCCCATCCCCATCCCATCTGCATCCTCCATGGCAGCTTTCTGCTTGGCAGTGGTCCTTCGGGGTGCTCATGTGGGAGTTGCTGACACGGGGGGCATCACCATACCCTGGAGTGGACCCCTACGACATGGCCCACTACCTGCTGCAGGGGAGACGCTTGCCACAGCCCTCCCACTGCCCTGACACCCTGTGAGTTAGGCTGGGGGCTGGGCAGGCTGGTGGGGGTTATCCTGGGGGGATGCACACACTGACTGGGGTATTGGGGCAGGTATGGAGTGATGCTGAGCTGCTGGGCGCCAGCACCCGAGGCGAGACCATCCTTCACAGAGCTGGTGGGTGAGCTGAAGCATGTCCTGGCCACGCTGGAGGGCGAGCACTATGTCAACCTGACTGTCACCTATGTCAATCTGGATTGGGGTCCCTCCTCCACCCCTGCCCTACCAGGACAGATGTCTGAGAGTGAGGATGAGGATAAGGATAACGAGGAGGAGAAAGAAGAGGACACGGGTGTGCACTGATGGGATGTCCTGCACTAGGGGGACTCCCACACCCCCATACACCATGGGCGTGCTCCCCCAAGGAGGGATGCAGCATGCAGATGGATGCAGTGGAGCACTCTCCCTATGGGATGGGTGCTGGGAGGCAGCTGGGTTCTGTGGGGTTCTCTCCCATGGCTCACACCTGGACTCTGGTGGGTGCTCCCCAGGCTTGGAGGATACTGTGGGGCTCAGTCCTGTGCTGGCTGGGTGCAGGGGACCTTAGCCCCACAGTGATGAGGCTGTGCTATGGGGTCTGGGGCTCAGCCCCTCAATGGGTGGGTGCTGTGGGGCCCTAGACTCAGCCCCAGTGGATATTGTGGGGTGGCATGGCCCTCCCAGGGCTCCCATGGGGTGTCCAGCCCCTTGGCTGCTTGAATAGTTCATTAAAACTTAATTATATTTTTTCCCAGGCTAAGACTGTGTATTTGAGGGGGCCATGGCCAGGTTGGCAGCATCCCTTTCCCTCTGCATGTGGTAGGGGTCTCCCCACCCCCTGGGGGCACCCACCTCGCAGGGGGCACAGATGAAGGTCCACCCACCGTTCCTGTGCCAGCGACAGGAGGGCACCTGCACACTAGTGCTGACATGGCCACCCTGGCACCATCTCCTGGTGGGCACCATACCAGGGGCCCTCTTTGCACACCCTGTGTCCCACCATGGTCCCCTGTGCTTGGGATGTCTGAAAGGTTGTGACAGTACCAAACAAAAGGATTTTCCTAAAAGTCCTCCTCCCAGCCACATGTAGCCTATGGCCAGGATGGCTGTGGGGCACAAGGCAGTGTGCTCCTGGATGTGGGGTGATGATGTTCCTGAGGTCCCATACCCGGTGTGTGGGTCACAGTGCCCCTGGGATCGTGGCATGATGGATGCCCAGGGTGTGGGATTGCAGTGCCATGGGATCATGATGCTCATGGGATGATGGGTGACTGGGCATCGGATCAGGATGCTCTTGGGATCATGGGTGCCTGGCCATGGAGTCATGGAGTCCAGGGCATAGGATTACAGGGTCCCTGGCATTGAGCTGTCCATGTGACCATGGTGCCCAGGACATGCAATCACAGTGCAGACACAGTGGCATTCAGCCCACCTACCACTACTTGCCTTCACAGAGTGCCAGTGGGGCACGCTGCATTGGTGCTGCTGCCTGGTGAGCAAGAGTCATTACTGACCTCACTTAATGACACCTCTACGGCTTCAGCCACTGCCCGTGTAGGGGACGATGCAGTTCATGTTCCAAGGCATGCCCAGAAGCAG